GGCTGCTCATCTTAAACACGTGAATCATCGCTCACAATGACCCTGATTTTGGTTAATCACCTGATTTTCATTGCTGATTACTTGTGGGAACCAGTCCCTGGTTCCAGCTGACCCCATGGAATGTTACCTGTGGACATAGGAGGGCTTAAACCTGTCACTGCAGGGGAACTGCACCACCACCTCCGACTTGTTCATGGGGTCTTCCTTGTCTGGAATGGGACAGGTGAGAGGTTATGGAGGTCTCACCCACACTTGGTCTGTACTTACAGCATCTACCCAGCAAATTTCTGCCTTTAACACAGAATCCATCATTTAGAAGCCACCTGGAAGTGGTTTAGGTACAACATTAAAAAAAACAAAACTAAAGGAGCTTGAAAAAAATCTAACTTGATGAGAAGTTTATTTAAAGGATAAAGAAATGAATCATAAGGGGAAGGTTTCCCAGCTGGCTCAGAGGTGGGATTGACTGACCTGCCTGCAGAGGAGGAATCCGAATGATGTTGTAGGCCAGGGCAAAGTTTTTCCCGAAGCAATTCCCGATGTTGTAAACGGTGCCGTCGTTCTCAATGTGGGGATGAGCCGTTGCCCCATTGACCGACACGTATTTACAGAGATCCACCTGGAGAGCAGCAGGGACAGAGTCAGGAGCTCCCCTGGCAGGGGGTGGGAAGCTCTGCGAGCTGCTGTGAGTCAATGCAACAAGTTCTTCTCAAAGTCTGCAATTGAGCTCTGATTTGCAAACCCCAACCCAAACCTGACAATGCTCCAGGGGCTGGAGCTGCTCTGCCATGGGAGAGCTGGGGGTGTTCAGCCTGGAGAAGGGACAGGGCCTAAAGGGGCTCCAGGAGAGCTGGAGAGGGACTGGGGACAAGGGATGGAGGGACAGGAAGGCAGTTAGATGGAATATTGGGAAGAATATCTGTGAGAGGTGTGAGGCCCTGCAATAGAATTCCCAGAGCAGCTGTGGCTGCCCCTGGATCTCTGGCAGTGCCCAAGGCCAGGCTGGAGCAGCCTGGGACAGTGGAAGGTGTCCCTGCCATGACAGAGGTGGCACTGCATGGGCTTTTAAGATCCCTGCCATCCCAACCCATTCTGTGTCTCCATGATTTGTGTTTTAGTTTTACTCCTCCACACCTCTGTTGGCCCAGGACAAAGACCCACCTGCTTGATGGTCTCCAGGGTGTCTGGGTTAATCCTGGTGATGAAGTTGGTCTCAGTGCAGGCATAGTAATCCTCACCCACAGGGTAAACATTCACCAGGGCGTTATCTGTCACCTCCACACCTTTGAAGTAGGAGAAAAACCTGAGCAGAGAAAACCAACAGGCAGTCAGGGGCTCCTGGGAAGCTGAAACTCCGTAGGACATCCCAGCAATGTCTGCAGCAGCCCGAGGTACCTGGAGAAGATGTTCTTGCAGGGGTCTGGGTAGGCGTAGGTGCCAAACTCCGTTATCACGATCCTCTTCTCCGTCATGGCTCGCACGTAGGCGTCGGTCCGGACAAACCTGGGAGGGCCAGGAGGAGACAGTCTGTTACAGGTGACACCAGGCTGTGCAATAAATACAAATATTCCTTTGGTGAACCTCCTGAGAGCTCTGGGAGCTCTCCACAACCTCACATTGCACCTGGAGCCGGGTTTAGTGATATCGCTGCTAGAGCTCTTCCAATGACCACATGGACTCAAAACAACCAGTGTTTCCCACAGGCACAGCCCCTTCCTGGCATTTCAGACAAGCAGATGCTTCCTTATTTATTCCTTTTGCTTGGAAAACTGGCACATACCTTCGGTGGTAGGTGACGTGCCCCTCCTTGAAGTCGAACTTGTGGAGCAGTGCCTGGCCATCGAAGAGGTGGTAGAAGGGCTCAGAGCCCACCTCGAACAAGCCAGGACCACATCTCAGGAGGCTCCCTCGCAGCCAGGTGGGAATCCTGCCTGTGGGAGAGGCAGAGCAGGGATGGGCACGGAAATCAGACCAAGGAATTTTTATTGTGGCAGCGAGAAAATCAAAACTTCGACTCATTTTCTAATTAAACTTAAATGTTTAAACACACATGAGCTCTTTCAGCTTTGATTTCTTCACCTCCTCACCAAGACATTCGGTATTGAGATGTCTAAAGAGTTCCCCACCCAGTCTGGCCTTTCTCTACCCCAAATCAGCAGCCCTGTGAGCCGTCACATCGAGTCTTGTAACGCCTCTGAGCCCTGGAGGCCGCTGAGCTGCGGGAGCAAAGGAGAGCAGGAGGAGGTGAGGCCCCAGACCAACCTGTGACGTGGGCAGTCACTGGAGAGGACAACTCCTCCACTGTCTCAAAGAGCTTCTTGTAGCCTCCAGCGGGGTGCTCCACCCTGGAAGGGGCACAGCTGGGTGAGCCCAGAGCCCCCTCCCAGGGAGGGATGGATCTCTCTGGACGGAACGATCCATGACTTGCAAAGAACTTGAGGGAGGAAGGAGAAGCACCTTTCCAAGGGGAAAGGCTCTGAGGCTCCACACAGCTACTGAGAACTGTCCTGAGCACCAGGAGGGACAGGGACACCGAGGGGACAGCCCATACTGCAGCCCAACAAACCCAGGATACCCAAATCATCAGAAAGCAAAATCCAGCTTGTATCTGCCAGCTCTTGGAAAAGACGTTTTTTTTTTTTTGCTTTTCTTTTTTTTAAAGAAAAATATTATTTGTTGGGTTCCAATTTTATCTGCTGCAAAGCCCATGAAGACACACCAGGCACAGGCTGGTGAACTCTGCCCAAAGAAGCTGTGGCTGCCCCTGGATTCCTGGAAGTGTCCAAGGCCAGGTTGGACAGGGCTTGGAGCAGCCTGGGACAGTGGGAGGTGTCCCTGCCCATGGAAGGCGGTGGCACTGGATGGGCTCTAAGGTCCTTCCAACCCAAACCATTTCAGGATTCTACTCCAAATTCTGGTCAATCCCCTGGAAGCTGGAGGTGATCCTGTTCCCCCAGACCAGAACCACACCTTGGCATGGGATGTGCCAGCACGGACACACAGAGACCTCCCCGCTTCTCCTCCTGTCCAAACCCTGCTGCCCCCCAGCCATGCTCCATCTGGGATGTGCTCCCACAGAGGGGAGCTCAGGAATACTCACTGGCTGTACATCCTCCCTGAGCCTCCAGAGCCAAGCACGGAGCCAGGGCTGTGCTGGGTATTTATGGGGTGCTGAGCCCTGCCCAGGGCAGCCCCGTCCCAAAACAGCCCCCACCAATGAGAGCACCCCGGGAACAGAGCCGGCTTTCAGCACCAAAATCCTCCCCGGGCTTTGGGAGCTTTTGTCCTGCTGTTCACACAAAAAGGGGCTTTCACTGTTTTTCTGAGACCTAAATTCTTCCCAAGCAGAAGTGATTACAAAGGAAAAAAACCCAGGGAGGAGTGAAGGGGAGCGCACTGGAGCCGTGCCGGGGGCTGGCAGCGGCACTCAGCTCTGCAGGGCCCGTGCTGGCTCCTCCAGAGCCTCACCCAGGACTGATGTGACACTGGAGATGCCAGAGGGAAGAAAATGCCAGTGGCAAACATCAAGGAATCTCCTGAGTTGGAATGACCCACAGGGATCATTGATCCAACTCCTGCCCTGCACAGGCACCCAACATTCCCACCCTGGGCATCCCTGCAGCGCTGTCCAAACGCTCCTGGAGCTGCTCTGGAGCCTCGGGGCCATTCCCTGGGGATCTGGGCAGTGCCAGCAGCCTCTGGGGGAAGAACCTTTCCCAAAATCCAAACCAAACCTCCCTGGCCCAGCTCCAGCCGTTCCCTGGGTGCTGTCTCTGTCACAGGGAGCAGAGGAGGTCCCTCAGGAGGAGCTGCAGCCCCTTGAGGTCTCCCCTCGGTCTCCTCCAGCCCCAGCAGTAGGAACCACCTCTGGTAAGAGTCAACACTTATGAAACCAATGGTGCTGGAAAAATAATTTCAAAGCTTAACAAGTTCTGAGTTTCCTGCTGTCCCCTCACAGGCAGAGGATGAAGGTGTTTTGCCACCACATCCATCCAGGTGCTGCTCCCACACAGATGGAAACAGCTCCAAACAGGGATCCAAACTGGGCTGAAGGGACAAAAAGAGACATTGAACACCCCTGCTCCATTTGCTGCCACAGCCAGCACGTGAGGGTTGGCTTCTTTCCCTGCTTTTGTTTGCTTGCTCCCTCTTTCAAGGCAGTGTCTGCACTTGGACAAGGGTTCATTGAAGGTTCCTCACAGAAAAACCAGGAAACTGCACTGAGCTCTTGATTGAGGCCTCCCATTTACCCTTTCTGTTGAAGAACCATCATTATAATTTCTCTATTTATTCCCATTTTTTGGTTAAGTTCTGTCAAAACCTTAGAAGGGAACATTAAATAACCTGGATCAAGAACTGGGAATAATGAGGGCAGGCCTTTGAAAGCCAAATCCTGGGAAATGTGAGCTTCTCACCTAATAAGTTACTTAACTGGAACACTACATAAACAAACCATTTATGCAACGTGGAATGGGGTGGGAAGCACTGGGAGCAAGTTCAGGCAGGTGCTGAGTGCTGGAGGAGGTTGGTTACAGCTGCCCCCTGCCCTGAAAGCACAAAGTTACCCACAGGACATTAAGGCATCATTAATATTGGCTAAAATGAGGCTAATTTGGGTTTCTCATTTACAAAACCTCTTTAAAAACAAGGAGAAAAATGGGATTTAAGGTCCCTCCCAGCCCAAACCAGCTTGGGATCTCAAGAGCCATGCAGTGGATTAATTATTATTAATTATACTTTCCCAAAAATATTCCTGCAGATTTAAACTCCTGTGGGGGGAACCTTTATCTTATCATAATTAATAACTCTGGAAAAAATAGGGAAAATTAGTGTATTCTGTTCTCACTTCATGGATCATCCATCACTCCTATTCTGAAAATCACACCAACAGATCCAAAATGAATTTACCATGAAAACATCAGAAATATGCTTCAAGTCTTTTAATATAAATAAATATCAAAAAGCTGATGAGGGTTTTACAGATGATATGAACAGAAGTATTTATGGAGTGAGATAATCATTTATTTATGGTGAACTGGCTCTCCAGTCCTGAACTCATAGAAGCTCCTTTGTTTAAAGACAAACATTTTGAGAATAGAAAAGGCACTTAGTCACAACACACACACACATAAGAGCTACAATAATGGCACAAATTCCCAACCAGACACTTAAAGATTAAAACAGGAGGCAGGTCATTAGTTTCCCATAAAAAACCATATATAAATTTTTGGTTAACAACAGCTTTATGTGTATTTTCACATTTTCCTACTCCAATATATTGTAATAATTTGTAAACAGATAAATATTTTTTTTTTCTTTTAGAAGTTATTCCAAGGTATCTGCACAATAAAAAAAGATATTTTGGCACCTTCCAGCACAGTGTCCATGTAAACATTTCCTCCTTCTGCAGCACAGCCACCACCAAGCTCCCGCAGCAATTCCTTTGGTGATTCCCTCTCAGACTTCCAGCAGGGAGAAACTGCTCAGGAGTGGTGAGATCAGTACCTGAGGCTGCGAAATTTGGCTTTCCTGAGGCTCAGCAAGGGCTGTTTGATGGTGGGTTTGTTCTCCAGGAGCAGCGCTTCCGCCTCCGTCGCTGGGAACCTGCTCCCGTAGATCTGGGGATATTCCTTCTGGAACTGCAGCACACACGGGCACCAATGACAACAAAATCCCAGATCCCACAGAAAATTCCAGCTGTGCCAGGGCACATTCCATGCCTGCTGTGCCTGCAGAGCTGCCTTCCCAGGAATTCCCTGGATAAACGTGTTTTACCCAACAGAGAGCCAAGATTCAGCCTCTTTTGGAAGGGTTCTCCCAGGAAAGCTTACCACTGATTCCATGAAAATGAAAAGACCTGGAATCAGAGCGGTGGTTTGGACATTTTACCTGTTTCCCATGCAAGGCCTCAGGAAGGGATGAGAAGCTGTAAATACACCTGAACATGAGCCAAACCTTTCCACTGACGGATTCAAACCAGTGTCACTTCTGGTGTGGACACAACTGGGACCTTACCCTCTACAAAGTACCATGGATTTGGCTTTTCCCAAGAATTCCCAACATTCCTCATCAAGGAGGATGTGCCCAGCAGGCCCAGGGCAGTGCCCATCCCTGTGCTGGCACTGCTGAGGCACCTCTGGGTCCTGGGATCATTTTTGGGCCTCCATTTCCTTCCTCCCCTTCTCTCCTGCTGCTGTGAATCATTTCTTACTCCTAGCCTTAATCAATTATAATTAACCATTCATTCTTCTCTAAATTCAGAAGTTTTGATGGTCTGGAACCAAACCAGACTCACTTTTAGAGTGAAAGTTTCCACACCACCCGTGGAAGTCAGAGCTGCAGGAGGGGCACCAAAGCCAAGTGTGGCTGCCCCGAAAAGCTGCTTGTTCAAATGGGAGTCACAAGACTTGCTTAGGAGATTCCAGGACAAGTACAAAACTATTCCATTGGGCAGAAAGACTTTCCAAAGGAAAGAAAAACCCTCCAGGATTAAAACCCTGCCACAACTGCTGTGTTTTAGCTTTACTATGAGACAAGTTGTTGGTAGGACAGGGAAGTGTAAGATAATCTTGAGCACTGTAAATGTTACAAAACACAAAGCCAAGGCCACCAAAAGAATGTTCCAGGATTCTCAAGAGAGAATTTGGTCTCTTAAAGGCAAAAATTTTTGCTTTTAATACCTATTGAATTTAACCCCACCTATGGGATGTTAATGGTGACTTGGATGGCCAGTGCAGCACAGGAATCCAGGCTGCAATTCCATCAGGAATCACTGAATGGACAGCAGGAGCTCCAGCACAGTCAGTTGATACTGGTTTAATTGAAAACAATATTTTCATTGTTTGAACACCACTGCTGCCAGTCAAAGGCTGGGTTATTATGGAGTCATTTGGAAAGGACCTTAAATCCCATCTCATCCCAGCCCTGCCATGGCAGGGACAGCTCCCACTGTCCCAGGCTGCTCCAAACCCATCCAGCCTGGCCCTGGGCACTGCCAGGGAACAATTCCTGCCCAAGATCCCATCCAGCCCTGCCCTCTGGCACTGGCAGCCATTCCCTGTGTCCTGTCCCTCCATCCCTTGTCCCCAGTCCCTCTCCAGCTCTCCTGGAGCCCCTTCAGGCCCTGCAAGGGGCTCTGAGCTCTCCCTGGATCCTTCTCCTCTCCAGGTGAGCACCCCCAGCTCTCCCAGCCTGGCTCCATTAAAAACCATCTTTAAAATAAATCCCAGGCTGAGCACACGAAGCACTCAGGAGCTCTTGAGCACAAACATTTCTCAGCTCCTGTCCTGCCCCAGGCTCTGGTGCCTGAGCCCTTCCCTCACAAAGGCACTGCAGGAGCAGATGAAATAAACTCACCTGTTTTAACTTTTTCTTTTTGTCCTTCACAGAGAGGTTTTTATCCTTGATGATGTTCTCCAGGAGCTCTGCCATTGCAGCCTGCGAGGTGGAGACCTTTTGTTCTTCAAACTCCTGAGGAGTGATTTGTTTGCAGTAGGAATACGTTGGCAAGATGGCGCAAATTTCTTCTTTTTCCTGTTTGCGCTGAAAGAAAAAGGGCTCAGCATGCACTCAACTCATTCTGTACTATTTGAGTAAGTACCTAATAAACACCCACAAGCTGCAAAACAATATCTGCATATTCAAAATGTCCTGGGCTAATTTGCATTTTTTCCCAGCTTCAGAAGTAGCAATTAAATGAATTTAATGAACCATTCTCATGGCACCAACCTGAGCCGCCTTCATGTACTGGAGGTGATCCCACACTGCAACCTGCAGGTAAGTTGGGACTTGGAATATTTCCTGCTGATGGTCCATCAGGAAGGAGACCAAGCGTGAGGAAAGCAGCTCATCCAGGTCCTCCTCCTCTGCACAGCGCAGGACACAGCGGGAAAACGTCTGGATCAGCTGGAAAAGTGCAGCACAACTTCAGTGGATAAAGCTGTGGGATTTATTTCCCTCCTCTCCACTCTACAGAGGCACAGATCCTCCAATACCATCTTCCAAATATGGTCACACAAGGAGGAAAAGTCATTGTTGTTCCCTCATCTGAATTAAATCCTTTGGAATTGAGCAGCACTCTCAATTAAAAATACATATTCTAAAAAGGTAACAGCAGAAAAAGGCTTAACCTACAGAAAAATTCACATCCTCACAGAACTGTGGAATAGAATCCTGGAATGGTTTGGGTTGGGGCAGGGACACCTCCCACTGTCCCAGGCTGCTCCAAACCCATCCAGCCTGGCCTTGGGCACTGCCAGGGATCCAGGGACAGCCCCAGCTGCTCTGGGAATTCTATCCCAGGGCCTGCCCACCTTCTGAATAAAGAATTGCTTCCTACTTCCAATCAAAACCTCAATCAATCATCTTGACACAAGCGAGGTGGTGAAAACCTGCAGGCACAGCAGGTTTAAACCAGAATGAGATGGGCTTCAACCCAAACCAGCCTGCCATTCTAAATGGCAGCTGGGTGAGAAATCAGGAGGATTTCTGAGGACTCATCTGCATTCTTTTAATTGGCGTTTAAAAGAGCTTTTCCTTCTCTCACCAAGGACCTGGTGCCCATGGCATCGTGCAGCCGTGGCATGTCAACATTGCCACTGATCCTGGCCATCATCCTCAGCAGCAGCTGCAGCTTCCTGCGGTTCGGGGGTGGCAGCAGCAAGCAGCAGATCTGCAGAGCTTCCACTGCAATTCTTTCCAGGTGAGGCTGCAGGAGATCTACAAGTTAACCACAAAGACAGCTGGCATTAAGATTTGAAGCAGCTTCCAGTGTATTTTTACCTCAGTATCACAGGTTTTGTATTTTTCAATGTGATTATTTGTTTCACAGAAATCAGCTGTAACAGAAGAGAATGGACAGGCCTTTGTGTGGTCATCTTCAACTTCCTTCATTATGGTGCAATTAGGACCACAATACAATTAAGGAATGACACTAATTATTCCCAAACAATAATGATTCACAGAACAGAAAAAGACATCTCCAGCAGGCAGGTGTGGGCAGATTCCTGCCCCCACCACTTACCTGAGCAGAAAGGCCAATTACTGACACATCAAGCTCATTCTCCAAAGACACTACACACTACTGTTTGTTAGCACAGCTACAGCAGTTCAAACAATTTAGGCAGCAGATTTTCTTTACAAACCCCACAAATCCACGCTCTGTGCCTATCCACAAGCCTAGCAAGAGCGGCAGAGGCGAGGGAAGCAGGGATTAGTGAGGCCACACAAGGAGGCAGTACCGCATGCTGCAGAGAGCCCTTACTTGTGCCAGCCAGCACACAGGGGGAGGGGGGGACAGAGCGTTGTGACAGCGCTGTGCTGCTCCTGCAGAGTCTCTTGGGGATGCTGATGGCACAGCCCTCAGTCCTGCTGCCCACGGAGGGGGTGGCTCGTCCTTGCCCGCGGGGCTGAGGCCGTGGCTGCCCCGTGGTCTCAGCGCTGGCTCTGTCGATGGCCCCGCAGCTCCGGGAGCTGCTCCTGCCCAGCAGGCTCAGCTTTCCCCAGGAGCTGCCATCCCCCAGCTCCCCAGCCCCGGGACATGGGGCAGGCACTCTCCTGAGGCCGTGGCTCTGGCTTTGACCTGAGCTATGCCAGCCCAGCTCCAGCAGCGAGGTCGCTTTGTGCTCCTCTGGCAGTTCTCCTCTCGCCATGGTGCTCACGCCACCTCCCCTCAGGGCACCGCTTCCTCCTCTATTACACACGCTTGAAGCAGCAGCTCCAATTCTTTCCAAGGAGTAACACCTTGTCCTAAATGCTCCAGGTGGCTTTTGGTCATTCCTGAATCCTGCAAGGTTCTGGCAGCTGCCTCCTATCGTGTTCCCAGCACTCCCTTGCTGATGTGGCAGTTTGTGCTGCTGCCATTTCTTTCCACGGTGGTTTTGGGCACTCAGTTCTTCCGAGGAAAACCTCCTGGAAGCTCCTCCTTTCTCCTCCTCATCAGGCTCTTTGAGGAGCAGGCTTAGGAGAAGACACTCAGTGGACTTGAAAGAGTTCAAGTGAGGAGTTTTTGAAGGCTGAGGGTCACATTTCTCCTCTTGGACAGAACGTTTTCCACTGCCCAGATCAGGAATTTGGATGTAGCCACACATAACTATCAGGAAATGAGAGAGATGTTAAAGATGCAAGTGGTATGAAAATGAACCAGTTCAGAGAGTTGCTAACTGGGCAGACAGACAACAAAGCTAAGATATTAATTAAGAAGACTTTAGTTCATTCCCAAAGCAATTCAACAGGATCATTGCAACCAACATGCAATAACAAAGACAGGCAATGCTGCAATAGTGAGGAGCAGGCAGAACAAGCACATCTTTTAAAGTTTTTGTTATTGAATGTTTAGAATGTGAGCTGAAACAGCAATTTAAATGGGAAATGATGAGGCAGAACTGCATTTTAATTCACACTAATACAGAACGGAGTGATGATCCTCCTCAGACTGGAGCTCCCACACAGATCAGGGGGCCAAGCTCTGCTTTGAATCACACATTTGTCCCCCAGCTGATCTGAACTCAGAGCTTCCCTGACTCTTTCTAAATTCATACATACCTAAGATATTAACAAAGAGCTCATAGTATTCAAAAGTAAGCAATGGCTCAGGAAGACTGAGAAAATAATCAGCAACTGTTCTGAACACGTCCCGCTCAAAGCCACTGTAGGTGGCTTGGCTCATGTCATTGTTCCTGGGCCCTGAAAAGAGGGGAAGAAAGGAAATCACACCAAAATTCCACAATCCCATTATAAAACAAAATTTTGAAGATCAGCCTAAATTTATTCTTGTTTCACAAGCAAAGAATCCTATCAGCAATCCCCAAATATTGTATTTGGCACAATTTATAAGCAAAACCAGTGTAAAAGATTCCAGGCAGCCACTGAAGAGCTGTGCTCAGTTCTGTTCCACATTAAGAAAATAAATAAAGAAAAACTAATCTCTGGCCTTTATAGGTTCCTCAGCAAAATAATAACCAACCCTTGGCATGTCCCTTCGTTTCCAAGTGAAGGGATCCCAATTCTCCCACAGGGAGTTCAAGCTTCTTGAGCAAAAGGAAGCTCAGCACATGGGGAAAAAAAAAGCTCATTATCTCTGGTTTCATTTGAGAGGCACTCATCTCATTAATTTATAGTTGATTGTTCAAAAACCAAAGAAAATTGATCTCCCCAGAAGTGTAGGTAATGTTTTGGTCCAGCTAAAAGCCCGGGACTGGAAAAGCAAAGTCCCTTTCACTCCTGAAAAACTGCATTAGAGGAAACCACCCCCAGCTATTGCCCAGTTTCTGAGCTGGAACATCACAGCTGATTGCACACATACAAATATTTCCCTTTCAACTCTCAAAAGAGGTTTCTGGAACTTAAAAGCTCCTCAGTGACTTACAGTAGGCCAAGCACTTCATGGCTGACAGCACCCAGTGAGGGAGGTCTTCTGAAATCCAAACAGATAAATGCATCACTTAGACAATTAACAACTAATAATGGCTACATGTATTAAACAACCCAAAGTACAGAAAATTCCATTTAAAACTGATTTTAAACATTGCTACACGTGTAATTTTGATAGGATAAAGGGGAATAACTTCAAGCTGAAGGTGGGCAGGGTTAGATGGGATATTGGGAAGGGAATTTTGGCTGCTCCATGCTTGGAAGTGTCCAAGGCCGGGTTGGAGCAACCTGGGATAGGGGAAGGTGTCCCTGGCAGGGGTGGAATGGGATTTAAGGTCCCTGAGCTGTGCTGTGGTTTGGGGGAAAAGTGTAAACAACAGACTGTGAATCAGATTAATTATTGTAATTATTGTTTATAAATAAAGAATTTTTAAGCAAATCTAGGGAAAAAAAAGTCACCTGCTTTGTCCTGCAGGATCACCACCCCGTGCTTGCTGGTGTTGTTCATGTTGTACATGACAAACTCAGGGATGATCTGGGCTGGCTGCAGAACCTCCTCCAACGAGGGCAGTCCCAAAATGGTTTGCAGACTGGGGCAGGAAGAGAGCAAAGATTTGAGAGGAATGGAGGAAAACAAGTTCTTTCCATATCTATTCACAAACTCTTGAAGAGTTTAAGCGCTGTTTGATAACTTCTCCCTTCCAGGAGGAGAATCTGAGGACACTTTTCCCTGGGACAAACAGCAACAATCAGCAAGGAAGAGCACCTGTGGTGTTTAAAATATATTTCAGCACCAGTACAGGATCAGAAATCCCTTAAATGCAAGAATCCAATGTTAATAAACGGATTAGAAAACCTGTGTAAACAACAGAAAATATATTCAACTTAAAACATTGTTTTAACTTAATTAAAAACCAACCACAAAAGATTGATTGGGCTATTTCTTACTAAATGAGAAGGTGCTGTGTGTGATTCCTCACTTACTGTATCCGGATAATATTTCTCCATGTTTCTTGCACATATTCCTGGCTTATTTCCCTCCTTTGCAGTGGGTCTTCCTTCTTTACTTCTGTTAAATCAGGTTTTGGTCTTGCTAAGTTTTCCTGAAAATGAGTGGTTTATACTGTAAGATAAACAAGCCTCTTAAGGCAATTAAAAGTTAGAGAAAATTGGAATTAGAACAGGGCATTCTGTAGAACATCAAATTCCACAAGAGCTGGGGAGTAACCTGCAGCACTGAAACAGAAGCACACAACTAAAAAGAAATGGAAAAAAACCCCTGATCAATCCAAAATCAGCAATTTAAAAGGTAAAACACCTCAAATCCAGATGTATTAATGTGTGCATTATCCTCCTTTTGGAACCCAAACTCAGAATTTATGCACATAAATCTCAGCTGAATCAAGGGCCACACACACATTCCATCTTCTCCACAAAGATGACCAATTACACCATTTGTGCCTTTTATGTGTCCCCCAAAGGTAAATTAAACTTCAACAAGGCCCTGTTGTGCAGATTATTTCTAGGACTTCACCTTCCAGCCCTCCCAAAACTTTCAAATCCCTTAGCAAGGATAATTCTGCACTGAGACAAAACAAAGAAAACCCAAACCAAAATATCCCCCCCATATTAATTTATTTCTTAATATTTCTCAATTCCTTTAAGTCCAAACTATTTTTATTAAAGGAAGATGCCACAACAGAGCAGTGTCACTACATTTTAAACAATAAAAACAACACAAGACAACTGCAATGCTGAAAGGAACAGAAGTTATTACCAGAGACTGCAGGAACTCCTGTTTTTTCCAAGTCCTCTTGGATGAACTGGGCAGTTTAAAAAGTTTTCCTTTGTCTCCAGGGAAGTTTTCCAAGTTCTCCCTTGGTGGGCTTGGTAGAGGTTTGACTGGAGATGTTGGAGGAAACCTGTAATGAATGGGAGAGATGTTAAATTAATTCAGAATTGATCTGTAATCAAATAAATTACTTGACAAAACAAAACCTCTGATTCCATACCAGAGTGACTCTATTAGATTCACTAGAAAAAGGAGAACACTGATATTCTTTTATTTAATTTATCACATGATAAAGTAGCTCTGGGCTGTTTTTCCTGATGCCAAAGTCAAGCTGAAGATGTTGGCACAGCCTGAGGCCAGAACGTGAGAAGAGAGGGCTGTCAATACCTTTCATTTCAGAGCTCTTTGGCTCTGTTTCCCACTCAGACTTTGTGTAAAAGGTCCAAGAGAAGCAAACCCAGCAGGCAGCTCCTACAAAACACCCTGGCTTTACTCCAAAGCACCGGAGTGCAGTTTGAATTCCAGCAGAAACCTCGGATGGACACACACAGGAGCAAAATAAATCAGAGGAGCAAAGCGATGCTAATAATCAACTTAAACTAACTTTGCTCAATCCAAAGCAAGCTCTTTTCGCAAACCCGAGCGTTTTTCATTCAAATTCTCACCCTGAGAGACCACGGAACAATTTTAACCTCAGTACCTGTACAGGGCACCGTTGTCCTCCAGGTTTTCAGCTCCCCACCTGCCCTTGATGTCCTCGATAACGTGATTTTTGAGGAATTTCCGCAGGAGCTGCACCGTTTGCTGCCGGGTGACGTCGGGCCCGAAGCTGCTGTGGCTGCGGAGCACTGGGTGCAGCCAGTCCGCGGCCTCGGCGGCGCTGAAGCAGTTCCCGTACGAGCGGAGCCGCTGCCGGTGCCGCCGCACGGGCATCCCCGCTCGGAAGCAGCGGGTGACCTCGTTCCACTGCGGGGACACGGAGCGCGGAGCTGCGCGACAGCGGCCCCGGGACACCCCGAGCGCCCCCGTGTCGCGACAGGGGGTGGCCCTGAGTGCCCGCACGGGCATCGACACAGCGCGACAGAGGGCAGGGCGAATTTGGTACCCCCAATATCGCGACAGGGGGCAGGGCGTGGGAGGCCTCCAGGTACCCCCAATGTCGCGACAGCCCTGGGGCGTCCCGGGGCTCCCCCGTGTGGCGATATCGGGCGGGGCATCCCCGGGGACCCACGTGTCGTGACAGCGAGCAGGGAGTGTCCCCGAGCACCATCGCGACAGCAGGTAGCGGGGTCCCAGAGCACCCAGATGTCGCGGCGGCGCGTCCCTCAGCGCGCCCGTATCGTGACAGCAATCCCGAGGGGCAGAGCCACCTCCCGCTCCGCGGCGCTCGCACGGGTGCCACGGGCGCCCCGTTCCCCCCGCTCGGTGCTCACCAGCCTCGTGGCGCGGTACGGCCCCGGCCCCGGCCCCGGCCCCGCTCGGTGCTCACCAGCCTCGTGGCGCGGTACGGTCCCGGTCCCGGGCCGGGCCCCGGTCCGGCCATGGCGGCCCCTCACGCCGCGCAGCACGGCGCCCCCTGGCGACCCCGCCGCCCGCCCAACGGCCGCCGCCGCCGCCCCGCCGTTCGAATCCGCCGCCGGCCGCTGATTAGCTGAGACGGGCGCACGCGACACGTGACGTCACGCGGCGGGCCGGGCGGACGGGACGCTTCAAGGCCGCGGGTTCGGATCCCGACCCGAGCACCGCGCGGGTGTTAATTACCCAACGGTGATTAACAACAGTGACGGGAATTCATTAAAACCAGTTCGTTACTTAACAGTCATTAACGTGCTGGGACAGCTGGCCCCGCCTCATGTCAGAGCTGCTCCTGAGGTCTAGGGGGTGGCGCTGGGTGGGCTTTGAGGTCCCTCCCAACCCAAACCAGTCTGGGATTCTGTGGAATGAGGAGGTTTGGGTGGGAACACCCCCACTCTGGTTCTGTCAGGATTTAATCCCTCGCTGCAATGAAGGTTATTGTGCCTGTGGCCAATACAGAATTGTCCTTCTATTCTCCATCTCCCCTCTCTCCCCTCAGCTCCATCCCCCCCTCTCCCCTCAGCTCCATCCCCCTGCCTTCCCCACAGGGAAATTCCCACAGCTCCAGGGTCACTCCATCCCGTGATTTTGAACACAAGGAGTACGTGCAAATGAAAACACAAGCAAGGAAAGGAAAAGCGTATTTTAATTAAAATTATTACAATCATTCCCACAGCACATGATTTTTTTTTCTTAAAAGAGACAAAGACTCCTCTTTAGAAAGTTGCTATTTACCAGGTCTTGGATTTCACTTCATTTTCAATAAAACATCAAGAGAAGAAAAAGCTCTTCAGCAAATTTCCAACTTAATTAAAATAAATCTGAGCTCAATCAAGTTTCTGAGCTGAGCTGATGGGTGAGAAGAGAATGACCTGAGAGCAGCAGCACAAACCAGCCCTTGTGCCCCAAATCTGCAGCAGCAGGAGAAACGCTGAGCTCTGCGGGGAGAACTGGGATCACATTCCCAGGGTGCCCACGGCTGCTCCCACACAGCTCCTGGCTCCAGACCTCGCCAGGGAGAGCCCAGGCCGTGCCCAGCACACCCTGCACAGCCAGGGAGAGCAGCCCAACAGCAGCACGGGACAGCCCCAGGAACCCAGGCTGCAATTCCCAAAGGCAAAGCAAGAGAGGTTTGGTTTTCCGTGTCCTTGTCCACAGCCATGTCCAGTTCCAAGTTCCTTTTTGACCCCCAAGGTTTATTTAAACTGCAGGAAGGAAAGGGAGGGATCATTGGGCTCTGCCCCTCTATCAGCCACACATTTTTATTTCCCTTCCCATAAATCAAAGTCACATTTTAGCATTAGATTTTGTTTTCGTGCTGGCAAAGAGAAATATGTGGAGTTACTGATGATAATTTTCCCTCTCATAAGAAAACCCCAACATTCCCCCCAATAAAAAACAACCACACACAAAAAGAGAAAATACAGGAACAAACCTTTCCTACCCTCTCTGAAACTCCTCCCTGACAAACCTGAAACTCACCCTGAGCCCTGAGTGAGTCTCCCTCAGCCTGACCTGAGCAGGGAAATTCCCATCACTGCAACCCCTGGGACATCCCAGCTGTTCCTCAATCCATGGGGAACAGTGCCTGGGACATCCCAACTGCTCCTCAATCCATGGGAACTGTGCCTGGGACATCCCAACTGCTCCTGAATCCATGGGAACTGTGCCTGGGACATCCCAACTGCTCCTGAATCCATGGGAACTGTGCCTGGGACATCCCAACTGCTCCTCAATCCATAGGAACTGCCCAGGGTCCATCTGGGAGGAGCTGAAGGTTGATTGGGGATTATTTTTGGAGGGGAGCTCCTCACTCACCGCAGCCTCCAGGGCCTGGTCCAGGTCTTTGATCAAATCCTCCTCATCCTCCAGCCCCACCGAGAGGCGGATCAAGGTGTCAGTGATTCCCAGAGCTTTCCTTTCCTTCTCAGGCACTGAGGCGTGGGTCATGATGGCCCTGCAGGGATAAAAACCATCATTGATCTCAAGAATTTGGGAGTTTTATTGGCAGAAGCAGCCAGGCTGGTTCCCTGCCAGCACCCCTGCAATGGCAGCAGGATCTGACACCTCCTCTGTGCCACTCGTGTGACCCCACAGGTGCAAAGAGCTCCTGGCAGCACTTCCTGCAAATGATGGGAATGATGGGAAGGATGAACTCACGGATGCTCTGCCAGGCTCTCGTAGCCACCCAGACTCTCAGCCAGGGCAAACACCTGTGGGAGAAAGGGAAAGCAGTTGTTATCAGGAGTGGGAAGTTGTGGGATCACATTTATGAGAAAATGAACATTCACTAAATGAATTAGTTTAACCTTCTGAAACAAAAGAATAAGGTCATCTTTGTAGATAAAAAAAGCAATGTTGCAAAAAAAAAAAGAAGCAGAACAGTTGTTAACAAACAAAGGGGTGTCAAACCAAGTAAAATAATGCTTATAGCATTGACCAATTAGATTAAGAAAAAAGACTTGTGCTTGCCTAGCAGACAAAATAGAGCTGCCCAACAGGAAATGAGTAAACAAAGCAAAGCAACCAATCAAACAATACATGACCGTATAAACCATGATAAAAAGTAAATATAAACAATGTTTAAAACCACAATAAACAGCTGTTAGTTGGTTCATATTAAATCGTACAAAATTCTTTATCTCCTCAGGAGGTTATGGATTCACTGAAAGAGAGCTGATGGAATCAGGGAATATCCTGAGTTGCCCACAGGGATCATTGATCCAGCCCCTGGCCCTGCACAGACACCCCAACATTCCCACCCTGAGCATCCCTGGCAGCACTGTCCAAACCCTCCTGGAGCTCCGGCAGCCCCGGGGCTGGGACCTCTTCAAGGACTTGGAGGAAAAAGGAAAGTTGAGGGACCTCTTTTCCCCAAGCTTTTCTATAATAACTTTTATATTCTAAAGTGTAATGGCTGTAATTAGGGAATAAAGTTCACATCTGGCAGGTAAGAGCTAAGACTGAAAACAGACTCATCCTGGCCCATCCCTGGGAGTGTCCAAGGCCAGGCTGGAGGGGTTGGAGCCACCTGGGACAGGGGGAGGTGTCCTTGTCCATGGCAGGGGTGGAATGGGATGAGCTTTGAGGTCTCTTCCCACCCAGAGCAGTCTGGGATTCTGTGGAATGACTTTCCTACCACCCCAGTGACAACGTGATGCTGTCCAAGTCACAGGGCTTGGATAGCCATCCCCCTCCTCCTGGGCACATCCCTGACAGCTCCTGCCAAAGCCAGCAGATCTCCTGGGCCAGGATTCAATCCTCTCCCTCACATCAAAGGATATTTTGTGGGCAAATCCCATTTTCAGAGGACTCCTTTCCAGGGGATGACTTCAGCTGGCCAGGAGGGCAGGGAGGAGAAGGAAGTTCTAATTCACCTTTGCCACTCATCACTGGTTGTTTTTCCAAGACCAAGCAGCAGAAACACCAGGGCAGGTGCGAATTAAGCAGAGCTCAGGGCACAAACACCTCCCAGGGCATGGGCAGAGCCAACCTGGCCAAACACCAGCACAGGCTGGACCAAGGACCCAAGCAGGCACTCGCAGAGCCAGGGGCTCCCTCTCTGCCCCACGAGTCAGGGCTTTCCTCAGTGGCTCTCCCTCCCTCCTGAGGGCACTTTGCAACAGCCCAGCAGAGCTGCCCAGGCTGCAGAAAGCCCTTTGTCAGCAGCAGCTCCTGGGCTCAGCTGGCCACCCTCACTCTGGGAGCAAACAAACACTTCCAAGGGGCTGAGGTGTCCCTTTGTTCCCTCTCATTAACCCCCATGGACAAATTATCCGTGGATTGAGAGGGGCACACACACAGCACTTGGCAGGAAAAGCCACTTCCAGCCTCCCCTCAGCAGGGCAGGTTCAGCTCCCTCTGAGGGTGATTTTATTCCTTTACCTTCAGGTTCTTGAGGAAGGCAATGGCATTTTCTTTTTTCCCTTTGATGTAGAAGGTGATCATCCCAGGACAGCCCGTGCACTGCTTCTGCATCACATGGTACTGGGGGTGGGAAGGCAACCCTGGAATGGGGAGAGTTGGGAGAATTCCCAGTGAATTCCAGTGCAGAGCTGGGCACCCAGCCCCAGGAACGGGGTACCACTGCTCCCAAACCCCTGCCCTGGGATGCTCCCAGATCCCTGCCCACCCACCTGGGTAAATGACCTTCTCCACCCGGGGATGGGTTTCCAGGAACTTGGCCACAGCCAGGCCGTTCTGGAAGTGCAGCTTCATCCGGATGTGCAGAGTCTTGAGCCCCCGGTTGCAGAGGAAGCAGTCAAAGGGAGAGGGGACAGCTCCCAGGGCTGTGGGAATGGGAATAGAATTCCACAGAATTCCACAGCAACGTTGGTGTTTTGCATTCAGCAAAGTCAAACACACCCTCATCTCCAGCATTCCTGAGCTTAGAACAAGTGGGAAGTCACCCGAGGCAATCTCTGTTCCTCATCTCCCACATTGGGGAGACAATTAATGAGGCCAATTAATAAGCTCAGGCCTCAAGGATTACATTTATTTGGCACAGTGACCTTCCCTGCTGAGGGCACAACCCTGGACAGGAATTTATTCCTGACAAGAGGGAGGAAATTTGCTGGAATCAAGAGAGAACAGAAAATCCTGCATTAGGCACACCCTGATGGGTGAGTGAGTTTCAAACCCCCCAAACTGCAGCTGGGCACCTCAAGGGTTTCAGGATAGACCTCAGTGCTCCCCTGAAGTGCCTGGGAAGTGGAGACCAATGTCTCTCCTTTCATTGGAGTTTTTCCTTAGTGGAGTTTTTATTGGAGGATTTTTAATTGCACTTTACTCAGTTCTGCCCATTCAAGTCACATTCCCAGGCAGATTTCCCACTTGTGTGCATGCACACCCTCCCCAGCAGGAGCTGTGGATGTGAACAGGATTCCTGTCAGGAATTCCCTGTCTGGACTTACAGTTCTGCAGGAATTTGAGCCTCTCATAGAGATCATCCCGGTTTACAGAGACCAGGCC